GAATACTGTGCCTAACTGGTTGCTGATTGGAAGTAATAATAAAATCAAAATTATGTGAAGTTCAAATTTTTTCCACACTCCTCTTGATTTATCTATGACTAAGACTAATGTTAAGCCTGTTAGCTTCTAATGCTTTGCCAGATGTCAGCATTTAGTCCAGAACTTTTAATAAAATGTGTTTTAGTATACAGTGGCAGTCAGGTCATACTTTAAAAATCTTTATATGCCCAGTGTGACCCTGTTCAAGAAGTTTTGGAAACACATGTAGACCCCTTCCCCTTTTTCTTTTTTCTACTTTAAATACTATCAATAGCTCCTTTCTAGATAACAAGTACAGAGTCAAGATTCAACAGAGAGAGAGAGAGAAAGGAAGAACAGCTGAACACAGTTAAATACCTAAAAATGTTAATATATAATTATTCAATCTATTTAAACCACACATTAAACAATAGTTTTAGAGATGTCAAATTCATGCATCTTTCAGTAATATCTATCTAACAGTATACTGCTTTGAGCAGGGAAAAGTGTGTGTATGTCCAAATGTATATAGTTTATTGGTAAGTGTAAGTTTTTTGATACCTACGATAGAAAGCATATGCCCATAAAAAAACACAACAAATTAAGAACCATGATAGATGGTCTTTGTTAACTGTTAATGATACATTTTATCAAACAGCAGAAATGAGAAAAAAATGGTCAGTGTTTTCTGTTGATTTTAGGAATAGTGAACTATATAAAATTACAAACAATATTACCCAAAATACTTAGAACATTTGTTTTTTTGGGGAACGAAACATCTAATGGGGAGGAAATTTAACTTATGAACAGAGTATGATCATAAAAGCAGTTTTTCAAGCAGTGTCTGTTTGTTCTGCCTCTATATCTGCATAAGATGAACCACAATTAGTTCATAATAGGGATCTCAAGGAATTCCACAAACTGTGATAGAACGTTTTGGCAAAAAGCACCTTAAGAAGTAAAGATTCAGGTCAAACAACACTTTAAAATCTTTACTATTGACTGCTAGGACTACACACATATAAAAATGCACAAAAAAGCATGCATATTAGACTTACAAGGAAAATATAATCTGCACAAAACAGCCTGTTTGTAATTCGTATTATTATTGTTCTCTTGTCAGCCTGCAACAAAAATGGGTTAGTATATTGCACTCGAACCTTCTATAGAATACTAAATACGGTACTGTAAAGGTCGTAGAGTTATTGAAAAGTCGATTTGTTTTTGTAACTGGTTGAGACAGAAATAAGCATATAAATGCCACAGATTTGCTGCTATGTTTTATGTGGTGACAGGTTTTTTCTGAATAGATGGAAAAATAAACACATCTATTGCAAATAAATATTTCAAAAATCAAAATTGGCTGTAGCAGTTTTTTATTACTTTATACAAACCAAGAGTTTAAAATATTGTAATGAGAATGAAATTCTAAATCTGAATACTTCAATTATTGTTTTATTTTTTTGGGTGGTTTGAGGGAATATTCAGATAAAGTTTTTGAAACTGAATCTGCTCATATTTACTTGTAAAAAGAACATAAAATTATGTACAGTTATCGATCAAATTAGAGTAATCCCTCAGTATTCCAGTTTATTCAATTTCTAGGTTAGGTTGAGTCTTTATAATACAGAAGGGAAATAGACAGTGTGCTGTATGTTTCATGTAAAATTAAGTATTTACTGATAAGATCATGGAAAATAGACATGTATACAAATATTTTATCTTCAAACAGTTCATCATATAATATAAAAACAAGAAAATGGTTTGTAATGTTGTCATAACCACAATTCAGTCTTTTGATAAATGAAAAAAAAAACCCTGAATATTTGTTATCTTCTGTTGAGTACTTCTATCTACACAGTAGAACTGATATCATGCCTGACATTCTTGATAATAAATTAGCTATATTAAATTCTCTCTCAATATAAAAAAAAAATCTCAAAATAACTATTATCTTTTACTAAGTATAGTCCATTTACTCAGTGGAACTGATATTATGCCTACTACATTAGGTAATAAATTACCTGTATTAAATTGAGCACATGTAGTGTATTCCCAAGTATTAAAATACTTTGAGAATTGAACATATTGCCTGTTAAAAGTATGTTTTTATTTTAACACTAATATGATTGGCAGTGTAGCAGTTAAAAACGTTGCTACATTTTCCCTTCTATAACTAGAATAAATATATAACTTTTATCCAAGCATATTTTTTATTTGTTTTGTTTTTTCTGTGCAGGTGTTTTACTGTTGGTTGACATTTTTGTGAACAGGATGTGAATAGTTGTAAACTTGCATTAGACCTTGCAAGATTGTACTTGCCCATTATTCTATTGTCATTACTCCTCTGTGATGTAGGTCACAGCTAAGTGAAGGGATGGTATGAGGGTTTTTGCAAGTTAGCATGAGCCAGGAGTTAATCTCCTCTTGAATGAATTGTTGAATTATTACTAACATAAGTATTCTGGGATAGTGGAATACTGCACTTGGACTTTGGTGTGACGTAACAGTTCCTTTGTCCTTCGTACAATGCAGAAGTCTTTGATTTCCTAATAACCAACAGCTAGTTTGTTCCTAAAAATGCACAGGCTGGCCAGTATAGGTTAAGCCTCATCAACTTTTATTTGTATTTAATATTTAAAAAAGTTCTTAGTTAGCACAATTGTTTGAGCTTTACCATTGTTAGTTGTGTTCACTTTTAGAAGTCATGGAGTTTCTATAAAAATTTAAAAGTTCTGAAATGTGTTTATATAAGCAGCTAAGTGATATATAGCTATCTCAGAAAAGGGAATTTTTTATAACAAAGTAAGTTCTTAAGGTGTTAGAAAAACGTTTAATGTTAGTCTTTTGATATCTATCACATAATACTTTCATGATTTTCCTTTTTTGTTGAATCTATTTAATCAATTTCTATACATGTGTATTCTGATATATACAAACAAAAATGCTGCACAATAAAACTAAGTCACCAGGGCACAGGCTATAATGTTGGGCTATAAGATGTGTCCTGGGTTTTTGGAGGCAGCTGTGGAAGTGGAACCTCCATAGCAGTGGAAGCTGCACCATCTGTCAGTTTTTACCCCCATTCACAAAGCCTCACGTGTAAAGAAAAACATAATAAGAGAGTAAAATAAGAAAATAAAAGAAATATAAGAGTGTATGATGTGGGTACTCTGACCCACAACATCCCATATCTATATTACCTACAGACAGTTGTGGGAAGGTGATTGCTGTCAGAAGAAAAGAAGTGAATAATAAGAAAAAAGAGAAAGGAACCCTATCATTGGGCATGGTGAATAAGAAAACATTACTTCCTACCAGCCTTCATTATGGCAGTAGAGGTTCATGTTAATAAGATGATATTAGTAAAACAGCACAATAAAATCCCCACTGAGTTATTTAAACTAATATGACACACATCTTCCATCCATATTCATAAAGTTCCAATGGAAGCTAACTATTCTACTTTTATAACTAACTTGTATCTTCATTTTTATGAAAATGAATTTATTGAAAACTTTATAGATGTAGATGGTTTTAATTCAATTCAGAAATAATTAATTTTATTAGCACTATTTACCTAATAGAATTAGAAATTGTTAATACTTCAATTAAGTTACTTAATTAAAATATTAAAATACTTAATAATGATATTAATTAAAATATTTTTGATAAAAGAAAGAATTATCCTTTTCCAATATACAGCCTCCTCTCTCCTAACAGTAATGTTTCGCATTCTTGTATTATAAATTCACAACTACTCAGATTGTATAGAATTTGTAACACATTACAATATTTTACTGCTAAAGTTGAAATATTGGTCCAAAATTTATACTTAATGGATTTGATAAACAAAATAAAATATATTGCATAAAATGGATTTGATAAACAAAATAAAAATTGATTACATAAATACCAAGAAGTAAGAATTAAATATATTATGCTTAAAATGTCTATAAAACATTTTAGATGTTATATTTTTTTAACTCTTGGCACTATTTTCATGTATTTATTAACATTATCAATATACATGAATACATAAGTTTATATGAAAGGTAGAAAAGTATCTAAAAATTAGTAGTTACAACAGAATGTGGATGGATGATGGGTATCATACTAGTTTAGACAACTTAATTGGTAATTGAACTTTTACTACCATAATGGGGGCTGAAATGCCAACTTCAAGAGATGAGGTTTCCTTAACACCACCTGTAATGGTAGGACTTTCTTTTATTTTTACATCTCTCTCTCTTTTTTTTTTTCAATTCTCTTCTTCTGGAAGCAGTAACCTTCCCACAACTGGCTGCAGACAGTGAAAGGAGATACAGATGTGGGACATTGTGGGCTTGAGCATCCACATCTTGCTCTCTTATCTTTTTTTATCTTATTATTTTACTGTCTTATTATATTTTTCTTTATATGTGAGGCTTTGAAAACATAGGTTAAAACTGATAAATGGTGTATCCACAGTCACCTTCAAATGACAAGATGCTTCTTATAATCATACATTATAGCCTGTGCTCTGATGGCTTTGTTTTATTGTGCAGCATTTTTCTTTTAGGCTTATTTTTTATTTATTTTAAATATGTCTTATTTCATCATAGATTTGGTCTTGCTGTTTATAAAACAGTCCTTCCTTTTTTGATATAACAAGATGGAATCCTCAATAGTCATGGCTGCAATTAGACCTCAAATCGGTCAAGATATTGAGCTATGAGCTAAAATTTTGTATTTGAGAAAACCTCAGAGCCATTCAGTGAGCCACTATGCTGCTTAAAAATAACTTAACTACTTAGATAGAAATGAATAAAAATCCTATAACCTGATCGCTTTTGAAAGGTTGACCTTTCTTCTTCAGGGGCAAACTGCTTAGATAATGTTTATGTTTACATCATGTGTATTCTTATGTAATATATATTTATTACAAACAGGTTTTACTTTGTACAATTAATTTTATTACATCATTTTCGTCACTTTTTTAGGAATTAGAAAAGAAGTTTAGTCAGACAGCAGCTTATGCAAATATGAAGAAAATTTTAAGTTCTAAAAATGATCAAATTAAAGATCTGAGGAAAAAACTTTCCGAGTAAGTATTAGTACAGAAAACATTTGCTACCTATGCTGATTAACTCGTGTTTAAACTAGGTATACTTTTCTGAAATAAGGACCTTAGACCTAGACCATCTATGGAACTATGGTATCAGTTCCAATTCTACATTTTATATTTAGAAACATGCCCTTTAAATATATCTTAAAGTAACAAGTGTTGTTTGAAATTCATAGCATAAGTTTTGCACTTAACTACTTATTAACATTTATGGTAACATTTTACTTATTTTATCAATTTTTAGATTCAGTTTAAATGTCAGTGTGTGTACTGTAGCATCTAAATCTTAAGTCTTCAAACAATTCATCAGTTGTTGTAAAACTTTCATACAATTGGTTTTGCACTCAATCTCAGTGAAATTATGATAAGATTAAAGTTACAAAAACACTATATACATACTACATGACTGAAAGAGTCATATTTGTATGATTGATTTATTTTGACAGATATATTATTTATTTTTTAATGTGTATATATACCTGAAATTTGTTCATGATGATATATTTCACAGTTTAAACTGTAATTTTCTGTTTTATGCCATTCCAGTGTGAATAAGTATATCCATTATGTTTATGATTAGTTAACTGTTTGTATTTTCTTCATATGTATTAACTTTAAAATTAACATGTAGGTACAAAAGGAATGTCAGAATTACAAAGTACCAACTTAACTATCCACATAATTTTCAGATTTTGAATATATATATATTTTTTATTTCTGCTATGATAGAGATAAAAACTGAAGAAATGTAGTGAGTATATTTTAATGGTTCAAGTTATATTTTTTATAATAAGTAGAGAAGACAAAAAGAAGTTATGTTAAAATAAATTAATAAAAGTTGAAAGTTAATATTACATAACTAGCCATGACTCTCAAAACATTTGCAGTAGTTTTCATGCCCTTTAAGTTTTCTTATATTATCATTTTCACACATTCCATTTAAGGTAAGCTTTCTTGCAGGCATTATGTGTTAGATCAATAAATCCTGATCTAGTTGAAAAAATTTTATGTGGTCAGACAAACAAATTCACATAGACATAAATTTATTTAATAAAACTACACATAAAGTAAACATTAAAGTCATGGTAATGGATAAAATTGAAGGAAACTTCTATAAATGTTTAAAATATATTAAAATACTCAGTTATCAATGGTTGTAAAAAGGGCACTTCACATGTTTGATATCATTAACATCATCCTCAGTGCAACATGTAAATACAAAAAGCCATGGTCATGTGACTACTAGTTTAGAAAAGATCATGCCATATCCTTACTTCCTGGTTTTCCAACCCCTCATTCTTATTTAAGTTCAAATTATTTTTACTCTGCTTCATTATTTCTATCGGAGACCATAGTTCCAGACCAAACAAATGCAAGCACATTATTTATATAGATATTTTAGTTTTATAAGAAAAGTACAGAAAAAAAATTTTAGTCGCAAGCTAATTTTTTATTTCAAAAATAATCAGTTTACTACAATTGTAGGATGTTACTAAAACATTGAATATACTAACTTGATTAATTTTACACAGGAGTACTGTATCAAATACAAATTGTTAAGATATCTGTTTGAAACGTTAGAAAAAAGATAACTAATTTTTATATTACCTTTATTTTCAGATATGAACCTGTAAAAGAAAACTAAAGCCTGATTCTTACTCTGAAATTTTACATCTGTGCAGCACCACAATTAGTTAATGAACATCTCAGATGTAATTTTCAACATTTGTATTGGTTTGAGTGTAAATTAGCATTTTGGAAACATTTAAAGAAGGAGACTCACAAGAAATGCCTTATGCTCTTACACTGCAGTTTTTTATTTTGTAGAATCCCTTTTTTACAGTAGTTAGTATATATTGCATAAATTATTAAGCTAATCATTTCATTTCATAATTCAAACTTTCATTTAGAAAACTTGTTGAATGATTTCAGTTTTAGGTACCTGTCATTTATTTATATATTTCAAAGTGTTTTAAAACTGCTGTGATGCAACTAATTCAAAGATCGAGGTTTGGAAAAATTAACACCACAAACTGCCTTTAACTAAAAACAAATACAGAATGAATTGCTTAATTTTTTATAACATTGAAACTTTGTGTAACAGTATGAAATGAAGAACATTAGTTGTACAGTAAGTTCAAAAAAGTTGACCGAGATGATGATTAAAACACAAATGATAAATTGGGCAACATCTGTTTTTCAGTTAACAGTTGTTTCTGTTTAGTTTTCAAATCCCTGATCTTTATTGATATATATTATTATTTTAGATGAATAATGTTTTAAAGTGTAGCACAATTTGATGAACACTAGCAAAGTTTGTATAGTTATAGAAAAGCACATTAAATGGTTAATATGCAAGGTATTTGTATTGCCTGTGATATCACCTTTCCTTCATATGTTTTACCATAGAAGAATTAAATACCAAAAGAGCAAGCCTAATTAATTTACTTTATTTTTATTTTAATCTCATTATTTTGCTTCAGTGCAACTTACTCCCCACTCATTCTCAGTATTTACTGACTTTTCTATTTAGATGTATATGATCTTCACAGAAGAATGTATATTTCATTCTAAAATACAGCATGTGACAGAACTAGTGTCACAAGTTTTGCACACCAGAAGAACCCACATTCAAACCTATATGAACCTTCACCACAAGATGAAGGTTCTTGAGGGTTCATGCATTACATACGCTGGTTACTACTATGTATTTAAGTGGCTGCATGTCTGAAATTGGAAGTATGACTGTGTGTGTGTGTGTGTCTGTACTAAAGATCATTCTATGTGTAGATGCTTTTGTACATTCAGTGGTCACCATTATTCTGAAATAAAAACAAATGGCACATAATCACTAACTATATAATCCTACTCTTATGTATTTGTAATTTAGAGATGTGACAGTTGAAAACTATCATATTTTACATATTCAGGTATAGTTTCCAAAATTTTCAGTGCATATGTTCTTTTTCTATATTTAGTTCTTGTCCTTATAAACAAGATCTAAATAGTTGTAAACTTGTATTAATCCTCATTTCAGGCTAAGGTTACATGCCACATTGATCATTATTCAGCTTAATGCTGGAATTGTAATAGGTACAGTAAGCATAGTGGAAGTAACCAAGGCTAGTGGTAATGCTAGGGTTATGTACATTGCACCACAGCCAAAAGCAATTACACAGCTCCCAAAACATCCAAGATCATTGGTTAAGAATTGTACAAACAATCTAGAGCCAAAGCAGTGAAAGTAACTCAGTGACACATTTGTTAAGTATACTGATGTATTTGTGGGACCAATTGACCTATTGGGTCAAACAATAGTCACTCGCCACAACATAACTACAGGCAATGCACGTCCATGAAATCAACTGCTGCCATAGCAGCACTAGCATCTTATTAGCACTGGGGACATGGTCAGCACTGAAATAAAGCAAATATTGAAGGACAGAATTATACAGTTATTGGAGAGTGTTTAATCATCTTCAATAATGATTCTTGGGATGAAGGAAAGTATGCCAAGATTGTGTGTTGATTTGAGAAGGATGAACATGGTAATTTGCATTGATGCCTTTTCCTTACCAAAAACAAATGTTTAGACATGCTGAAAAATTCCAATTGATTCAACTTTTGATCTGGCATGTGGATACTGGCAAGTCAAACTGGATGATGAGTGCAGACCTAAGATTGCTTTTATAGATGCCTTTCTTGAGTTCTGGGTCATGCCTTTTGATGTGTGTAATGTGCCCACCACTCTTGAGAGGCTAATAGACCTTACACTGAAAGGGTACAATGTGAGAGATGACTGGTCTATGTCAATGATTCAATGATGTTTTGTTGCTTAGTTGCTGAGAACCTGAAAATGGTATTCTTGGGGATAAACAAAGCAGGCTTGAAACTAAAACCACAAAAATACATTCTAATGAAGTTTGTTGGTCAAATTGCAGGTGTAGATGGAGACTTTACAGACCGTGCTAAGATGGTGGTAAGAGACTATCCTCAATCTGTGAACAAGCAAGAAGTTTGCAATTTTGTTGGTTTGTGTGATACTTCTAGATTTAGAACCATTGTCTGCTCTCACTAAAACTGAGATTCAGTTTGGATGAAATGAAGAATATTATTAAGCACTCTAGTCACTAGAATTTGGGAACAGCAGTGCTTATATATATATATCATCAACGAGACAGCAAATTCTTATTGAACATCAACATCAGTGATTATAGAATAATGACGGTGTTACCACAGTTGCTGGATGGAGTAGTGTGTAATTGCTTACACTAGTTATACATGGGCTGCAATATGTTCCAGCAGCAGGGAAGTATCTCCAATCCAGCAGGTCAGTTTTGGAAGATTGGTCCACAGACATGTGAGTTACAACAGATGTGAAGCACTTGAAACTTTATGAAGCTTGTCAGTAAGCTGTGTCCATATGTCACTGATGAACCTTTTGTGCACTGGTTTGACCAGGAGCCTGAGATTGAGACAGACGAATCAGAAGCAGATGGGGATGTTATGTCATACTGACTCACCTGATAAAGGAGGAAAGATCTGAATGTCCAAGACAAGCCAGATGAGAAAATGCTGAAGTTACAGGTAAGAGACAGATCTGACAGTTGGCTGAACTGCTGACATTGGCCTTTTGATTGACATGGGTAGAACCAGACATCTAGTCATCATAAGATAAAGCAACTGTAGCTAGCAGATGTAATACCTATACATCAACAATCTGCACAACTGAAAATCATAGCTGCGAGTGAAAAACCTCAGTTGAAAGGCATTGTGCTCCTTTCAGTCTGAGCTGTTAGATGGTATTTCATAGAATAATGCAAACACTAAATTTTGTAATAGCCACATGATTCACATCATAAGCTAGGGCAACCATGTGGTTAAAATATAAGAGCATTGCAACCCTTGATTTCCAAGCCTCAGGGTAGATTATCTGATGCAAAACATGATCAGATGTTTCAAGTAAATCACTTACTTGATCTAGTTGAGTGGTGAAAACTATTGAAGATGCTGGCTGGTACTCACTAGATTCTCTCCTGTATATCTACAGAAGCATGTTGTTTCTACATGCACTGAGGGAGTTATGTTTCTTCTGAATGTATATTGAGATACAAAAGTAACAGCATGAATATTAATCCTAGCTGAAAAGTCTTAGTTTGGTATAATTCTGCCAGTGGTTATTTTTTGATGCCTGAAGAGAAAAACGAGTTGAGTTTGATGACTCCTGTAATAGGCACATTATAGAATTGCAATAATCGATCTGTAGAATCAGAAAGTAACCTGAGAAGCTTACCAAAATGATCTATATGAGAGCTGAAGGTAGTTTTATAAGTTACTAGAGTATGATACAATGTGTAATGGTGATGTATGTTTATAAATAAATGTATCTGCTCTTACACATGTATATGAACAACACAAATAGGTCAATTACACAAACAACGCAACAGTAAACAAAACAAAAGATATGATTTGATACATTAAGACCTTGTGATATGAAAGTGCACCTCTTATTTTCATTAATGGTAGTAAGAGAATGTTTCAATTTCAATATTGAAATATTCTACAGGTAGTGAATTTTCATAGAAGAAATGAGTAACTAAGCAACTTTCACTACATCTGAGATAAAACAGTGTTACTAGGTGTTTTTCATGGAGGTTAGTGGAAGATACTTTGACTTGATTGAATTGAAATATTTGAGTAGGTGAAATTATCAGCAGTAAATAGTAGCTCAGATGTCATAACAAATGTAAACTTGGTGTACAAAGTATATTTTTTGGTTGTGATAGACTTTTTTTTCAGTCAGGCAGATTGAAATATTTATAATGAGTATTTTCTTAATGTCATTTCAATACAAACCTTAGTTATAACTCATAATATGAAGGCTGAGAGTGTTATAGGGTGAGACAGAAAGCAATATCCACTTGGTGAAAGCTTTGTAAGTTGCACTACATACTAGTATTAGTGCTAAAAATCTAAATGGAAGAAGTTCCCAAATGAGAGTAAATGAAATCTTAGAGGAATCTTATGATCAAAAGTAAGGGTTGATGTCATGCTACCCAAGTCATCTCCAGTGTAGGCACCAATTTACAGTCTCGACCATTTCTTTCAACTGGAACTATGCTCTATCCATGCAGTAAGCCAATGATAGGTAGAAGAATGAGTCCAACTTAGAGTATGTATGCTTTGTCTTTGAAGCTAACCTGACTTTCACCATGGCAGAGCCTATAAATGAAAATGGGTTGCTGGCCAATGCATCAATATGGGAGTGCTTGATCCATCTGCTGTTTGAGTTGGCCCTAAAGTTTCTAGAGGCCGAGCAGCCTCTACTGGAACCAGTAAGTCCTTCGAAAGTCAAGTATCCATTAGATATACTAGTCACTGAGGGAATGATATTGACAATCACCTCATTGACTGTAGTAGCTGAGCCTCCATGCAAGTCATCAACTGTCTACACTACCTCTATTGATACTACCCAAAGAAGCATGGGTGTCAGCCAACAAGAAATGGGATCCATTGATGAAATGCCCCATCAGATGTGTTCAAGTCATCAATGGACCCAGTGAATTCCTAATCTGAAGAAAACCTTTCTGAAGCTGGGATGTTCTCGAAAATTGACAAGACCTCTGATAAGCCAGGGTGAGATGGGTCCCTGTACAACAACATCTGCCACTGTGGTTTTAACTACCACCACTACTACAGTAGTGTACACAAACCAAACAGCTATTGATCATCTATTCTGCCACCACTATGAACACCACTAATATCTGTGTCATCAGTGACAAGACCCACCACCTTCCTCATGTAGATGAAGTGAGAGTCCTCTATATTGGCAGCTGCTAAGGCGCTATCAGCTAAACAACCCTAGGAACAGACTAAGAGAGACCCAAAGGTGGAACTCTTAATGAAACCACCTATGGGGATTACTAATCTGTCTACACTAGAGCAGATCCCCATTTACAAGTTGGATTACCAGGAGCTAGCTGCCATGTGGACTACAAGTTGGGTCCTCTATAATTGAGAAGACGACTGTGGCAGAAAACATTGCTTCTACAGTAGCTTGAGAAGAAAACTTGCTACTTGTGGGCTGAGATAAAGTGAGCTCCAATAAAAGCTTGGTCACTGGCGCATCACTACAATGGCCAGTTGGAAGACCACAGCTGCTCTTGAGGATTTCTTAACTGGGTTAACTTTCTGTATATATACTTGTTAAAAAATTGCCTTGTAACCTTGAAACAATAAATACTATAATTCTGAATCAACTAAGTGTACCTTCACGAAATATGGAATGCCTTTAGTAAACATTACAAGTACGTTGTAAACAGAATTTCAGATTTGTCTGAATTTACAAAGCCTTTCGTGAGT